GAAAAGTACCAGGGTAAGTGGAAATGACTGTTCTCTCTTATTAGCTGCATGGTTATTTATACTTTTGTAGATTACCATGGTACAGTGCGATTAGGCTTTTTAAGTATTGTTCAAAATGAGAAGTTTCAAGAGCTCTACTGAGCAATTAACCCTTAAATACATTTACTAGAACAAATCTGCTCCAAACAGGGGTTTTTAAATTAGCTGGGAAAAAAGAACTACGAGACACCATCTGCCAAAAAGTTTCTGTGCAGCCACACCTGAGCAGTGGTTACAATGCATTGACAGTTCTACCAACTACACATCGAGCAGGTTTCACAATAGCTCTAATTCACCAGGTAAATGTGAAAAAAGGCACTTGGTCTCACCAGTCCCTAACTATTTGTTTGTTTGTTTGTTTTAGGTTTTTTGTTTCGTTGTTGTTGTTGTTGTCGTGTGGGTAAAAAACACCTGGTAACAATTCTCTTCAAGGCACACCCTTTTCACACCACAGGCAGGATGAAACAATTTGGTAATTTCAAATGTCACGGAACTGACCTGTTTATAGGGGCGAATTTGGGGGCTGAGGGGATTTTAATTTTTTCTTTATTTAAATGCAGACCCATACTTACAAGCACACACACTGTCCAGCAGCATGCTTCCCCAGGCTAGGACAGTCCATCTCCCACACCAGACTAAGAATATGGCAGGTGCAAGACACCATCCAAGAACATCCACAGTGGAAAAGTCACCTCACTGTGGTATCTCTAGTCCTTTAGCTACTGTGCTTACAGCCCAAGGCAACACTGATTCGCTACCAAATTACCATCTCAACTCACAGGGCTGAGGAACAGCTAAGATTACCTCATGCACTATGCTGTGTACCTCCTCAGACACTTCTACCATCTATAGAACTTATTCTCATTGTCAGTCTCACAGTAGAGACTCTCAGGAATGAAGAGACTTGTCTAAGGACACTCAATAGAGGGAATGAAACCAAATTGTTCTGTGTGCCAGAGAAATGCCATTACATCATGAAACCCTCTTGTTCTCACATTAAAGAAATGTGTGCTTAATCATGTATCTCTTTTCTAAAAAATAACTCCAGTTATCTCAGATTCTCTCTCAACTCCTCCTCTGATGAACTCAGATACACTCCCCGTGCCCACCCCCATCTAGCCCCCCCGTTTTACAAGAGTCGCCCCAAGAGTCACAAGAGTGCAACCCCTCCATGCCAGTGACTGTGATTTCTACAATCCACGTACCTCCACAGTGAACTCTCCGTAACACTCCCCAGGTTGAAGTCGTAGAGCTTTGTCAGAATGAGAATCACCTACAGAGGGGAATAGGAGGGAGTGGGAGAAAGGGAAAAGAGAAAAAAAAGTTTTCCTTTAGATTTTGTAAGAGTACACAAGGCATCTGAAATCACCTGAAGAAGAGCTTAGCATTTATCCATTAATGTTTTGGTATTATGGGATAAAGTAAATTTAAAAAATAAAAAGGAAAATCATTAGTTTAATGCATCATGTAACCATTAGCTCTTATTTTCATCTCAAAATGTTTTACATTTGAAATAAAACATGCCAATAGGAATTACTCAGACTTTGTGAGCTGACCTCTCTGCAACTACAGTTATTCGAAGTAAGGGATGGAATCAATTGCGCCCTTGTGAATTCAACAGCCCAATCCAAAATTACAGTCAACCTCTCTTGTTTCTCAAAATGCTACCGCTAATTATTGAGTCTCCATGGAAAGAACTGGTAAGTTTATTTATGTAGATCACTATCCAGAAAAAGTCCCTTTTGCCTGAAATGAGCTTTACTTCTCTCTATCTGCTGTCACTTACTCAAGGAGCATGGGAATTTCTACATGGTAACACCCTTCTGCAGTGGTAAAATAGAGGGGCACAGACCTGACATTCTGCTCAGACACTGAGCAAGACAAAACTTCAGCTCTATCTTTAGTGCTCAAGGAGAGTCAGAAGCTCCAGCACACCCTGACCAGCTTTCTGGAGAGAACATTCCTGAGTCCTGCCCCTGCAAAACTGGGGTCAGAGGAGAGGGGAATTAAACAGTACATGGGAGACCACGGAGGAGTATAACTTGCCTGTGATATCCTGGTGTTCTGAACTCAGATTTCACAGATAAATGTAATATTAGTAGTTACAAGTTACATTGCCCAATGCCCTTCTCTCCCTGAAAGGCAGTTATGCACTTCGATAGCTTGGGAGCCTCTGTGAAAGCTCCCAAGATTAGATGGGATGGGAACTTATGCAGAAAGAAGAGAGGTTTCTCAGTGGAAGTTAAGAGCATTTGAGCATTTGCTCTTTGCTTTTTTAGCATAACTAATGCCACACAGTTCACTCCCTTGGATTCTACAGGACCAGCCTCAAGGAACAGCTCCAAGGCACCTCTTCATTTGTGTTTTGCACCATTTTAATACTTCAGCATTGTTTCCTCCTTGCAGGATTCAGCACAGGCTAGTTTCCCTCGCATCTCTTTGGGCTGTGAGAGCATCTAAGGAAATGGGAGGGGGGGTGTTTGTTAACAGCTGCTTCACAGTTTGACTAAAACTGTGGTGGGTCCAAATGAGAGATGTGACCCAAATGGCTGAGTTCATTAATATTTTCCTGTGAAACAGGGGTCTTTACTACTACAAAAGCCAGACTACCCTGTCTCTTCCTCCTCCCACAGCAGGGGGACCCACCACACCTTTCACTTGGATTTCCCAGCTGAGAGGCCGCTGGCTGAGGAGTTTAAAGCTTTGCAGAAAAACGCTGAAGGATTAATCAATATCACAGCTGCTGCAGCAGTCAGTGACTGTCAGCATAATACCAGGAAAAAAACCTGTTCAAATTGTGAGGGACCTTGGTACGTGATTATGCAGTCAGCACCCAACTTAATGGTTTTAGAATAGATGTTCCAAGCATTCTGCTCTCTACTAGATTCACTTTCACCATCCCCAATTGTATTTTGTCCCTTTATTTCCCCACGCAGAGACCTTTAGGAGGAGGATAAAAGTCAAGCTGCTTCCAGCAGGGTGTGAAAAGAAACCTGCCAGGCAGTTTTGAGTCAGTGTATGCAATGTCAGCTAAACCATGTCAGCCTAAACCAATGCTATACCATGGGAAAATAAGGCTAATATTCATTTTATTGCAACTTAAATCCTGCACACACCTTCCCATAAAAAGGGGGAAGAGCCAACTGCAAGCTGCAGCAACCAGGTGTGGGAAGCAGGGCAGCCTTCTGCCAGCTAACACCTCATGAAAGTGATGCTTTTAGGATGTTCCCTATATTCCCACAGGCACTCAAACAGGACTCCTCTCAAGAGTCTCTAGAAAGCCATGCACCCCAGCACAAGCCCTGCACTGCCTGAAATTATACTGTTCTTATTACTCATAGCTGTGGTAAGGTTTCATAAAGTTAGTTTTCCAGTTTCAGAGATTCACATTGAAGAGAGCTGAGTTCAGCAGATCCCGGATCCATCCCTTAACAGAGTAAATAAAATCTCCTTGTCCTGGTCAAATTTCAACAGAGTAATTGTAACTTAGGTTGCAATTACAACTAAAGCCAGCATCCATATTCTCCCAACCCTTTGTGTGTCTCTCCCCAGATGTCCTATGCCCTATATTTTAGATGATGTCACTTATCTATTATAAACCTTGCAAATCACAGGATAACACCAGCTTTACAGAAGTGGGTTGAATCCTACTCAGCTCCTGGGTATAAATTCATACTAAAAGCATGTTTAGGATGACTTTTCTGGATTTTCGCCCAGGATGACAGACTAACATCCATCTCTGCTTGTTATTAATGCATGGGAAGCAAAAGTGTGAGCATCCCTTTGCAATATCTCACAAAGGGTTTCAGGAAATAGCAGGAGTAGCCTGAGGTCGTGGAATACAGTCACCTACAGCAACCTGTCCATAACATCATTCACCAAGCAGGCCTAGGCCAGGCAATATTCCTGCACCACAACCCCAGGTGGCTCCCACTATGTCCCTGCTTGCTTTAGAGACAAGGCGCTTCAGAATCAATAAAGGCAACTCTTGCACTTGTTTGGGTGTTTGAAAACTGGAGAAGATCTGAGAGTCTGAACACACAACCATCCCAAGGAAAGCTGAGAAAGCACCTTCCCCCCAGACACTGCCTGGCGAGACCTTGGAGCAAGCAACTGCCAAGGAAACATCACAAGGGGTCAAGATACAAACCAAAGCCTAAAAGGAACAGCTGGTTCCTGAGCTGTTTTCATGGGGTGCATTTGACATGGTATTGCAAAAGAAACTTCAAACCCTTTTAAGATTCCACTCTGAGGCCTCCACATGAGGCCACCCCAACAGCTCTACGAAACTAAAAGCGGGGACATCAGGGACAGATGTGGGCAAGTGCTAGATTTTCTAAGACATTGTATTGTTTGAATGCCTTAGTAGGAAAAGAAAGGAACAAAGCATATGGAAAATTAGACATATTTTCAAAATCTGAATTCTGACAGGAGAAAAAAAAGAAGGAAAAAAACCTCATTGATTCAAGCTGAGACATTTGATTCCAATTTCTATTATGTAGTCAAAGAAGCTCAGTTTGTTTTTATGAACACTAACAAATAACCCTGTTTTTTTTCCATTCCAGAGTACTTTTGTATTAAAATCTTGGTGTTTTCATTTTAAAAGCTGAATGCAATTGAAAATTGGTGATTTTGCCTTTTATGTACTATTTCAAAACAAAAACATTTTTTCCCCTGAACTGAGAGAAATCTAGAATTGCCACCCCACAGAAAATGCCCACTCTCCAACCTAAATGAGAGCAAACCATTTTGCTCTGAGGAAAAGACATATAAGTGAATGAAGTTCCAAATAATTCAGAAATAACAAAACCTTCCACTTAGGCATTATTTAGTCAAAATGAAAAAAAGCACCCTTATAGTGCCAAATTAAACTGCTTCTGCTCATCAAACCAACCTTCCCAAAATTAATTCTAAGTCAGCTCAATGCTGAACTGCATTTTTCTCTGGGATCATACTTCTCACTTCAGGGAATACAGTCTGGAGATGGGATTTCCCCACGTCCTGTTGTTGCCCGTCACGATATAAGCAGAAACCAACAGAGTGTTAGTTTAATGCCGGTGCTTTATTGAGGGCCCGGGGATACAGGGGGCTAGCGCCCAAAGCCCGAATCCCGCGTTGTCCATTTCAAGCACATCTTTTATACACTCAGACAAACAAAACATTTCTATAGCTACCACTTCAAAGGTACATG